ATTTTTATTTATTATTAATAGTAACAAATAATAATTAATATGAATAAAAGTTATAATTATAAAAAAGACAATAAACTATCAATGACATTTTAATAAGCTACCTTATGTGCATCCAAACGAATATCCTGGAAATAAGTTATCTTAATTTTGCCAAACAATGCCTTAGGGGCTGTTTGGCAATTGCTGAATGGTTTGGTGCAGAATGACTAAGTGATTAGAATGATTAAGAGGCACTCATAATATAGTGCAAAATGAAATATAATTGTTTGGTAATTGTGTACAATGAAATTAGGGCTCTTAATGGTTAAGAAAAATCCATGATACAAAATCATTCAGATGGTTTTAGAACCATTAAAAGACAAATTTTTTTTACCAAACAAGATTCATCTCTTAACGATTCAAATGTTACCTCTTAATGGAACTATTAAGAGGTAAACAAACAACCCCTTAGAGTTTTAGTTTTTTGCTCTAAAATATCGTCTAAAAAGTTTTTCCATTTTCAAGAATAAGGAGGTTGTTATTTGCATCGCCTGCCTATTAAAAAGTCAAAAAAGACTTAATAAATAATATTAAATGACCAAAATTTTTAAAAAATGACATCATTTCAGTTCATTTCTTTTTCTCTCTCATACGTCTCTTCTGTCTCTTCTACTTTTTCTTTGTTTTTTAAATTCCCCTTTACATCACATAGATACGATAATTCTAAGTCATCGCATCATAAAAATGCGATAATTATAAACGTTTGATCAAAACCTGTATTTTATAACTTCATGATTATGTCACCTTTATTCTAGTATACACTTCTCCTTGATATGATACTTTTATAACCCAAAATACACTTCTTCATGATATACCACCTTTATTTCTACACATGATATAAACATATCAAAACTCACAATCATGCTAAAAATAGTATCTAGAATTAGTTTTATAATCATATGCTCATATAGAGAACCATACGGTCCTATTTTCCCAAATCATCAAATAAGGAAAGTTTGAAAGTAACTCACCCCTTAATCACAAAAGAGAAGCAGTTATGCAGATGAATAGCAACTAATCCAGATAATTTCACAGAATCCCTTTGTCTTCAAATCTCTCTTAGCTTCTGTTTTCTTTGTACGAAAAACACAAACACAATAAAACCTCTTTTCACCAACTTTCCTTTTTAAAATCTCCTCACAAGGAGATAAGTAAAATTTCTCTCATGTAATAAAATAAAGAGGCAGTGCTGATTTTTTTTTTTAAATTAGGCATACATTAAACCCCTCCATTTATCATTGTTTTTCAAAAACAACCCCAAGCTTTATAACCGAATGTCCCGATTATCACATATATTCTAATCTAAAAGAATTTATTTTTGATATTAATAATAAAAAAAATTAATAAACAATATAATTGAAAAAAAAATATAGGACCAAATTTAGGTTTTTGTACATAACCTCCAAAATGCAGGGACAGACCCAGAATTTTTTTTATACGGTGGCACCATTTGACCATAAGAAAAAAAATATATGAATTTTTTTTCAAACGATGACACCGTTTGACTATAAGAAACAAATATACGGAAATTTTTTTCAAACGGTGGCACCATTTGATTAAGAAAATGACACTAATATGATTCGGACTTGGGTGTGGGGTGGAATAAAAGTCTCGCCGAAAAGCATCTTTCAACCGTAGCAGTTGCAACAGGCAAAGTCAGTGTTAGTTTCAATAACCGATAAACTAAAGGATGAGAAAGATGCTTTCTTGTTGCCACAAATGCATGTATCCCATGATTCCCACATTGGTCTCTGAACAAGTAATCATTAATCAGTAATCAGTAATGAGTAATATAAATAAGTAAATCTAATCAACTTATCAACATATGAAACCTAAACATCGTAAACAGTAAACAAAAAAGAATGATCAATTTGTATAACCTAAACAATTAATCAACTAATCAAGTAAACAGTAAACAAAAAAGAATGATCAATTTGTATAACCTAAACAATTAATCAAGTAACATTTGTATAACCTAAACAATTAATCAAGTAAATAGTAAATAATCAACTAAACAGTAAACATAAAAGAATGATCAATTTGTATAACCTAAACCTAAATCAAATAAGGTCACAGATTTGGGGCTTTACCAGTTTACCGCTTTAGTTAATGCCTTAATGGACCATTAGATTTAGGGCTTTAGTAGTTTAGTTAATGGACCATTAGATTTGGGGCTTTAGTTAATGGACCATTAGATTTAGAGCTTTAGTTAATGGACTATTAGATTTTATTTGGGCTTATTTTTGCATTTTATTTGGGCTTTAGTTGCACTCTTAGAATTTGGGGAAAAATACGGTAGCACCTTCCGAAACGATACGGTAGCACTGTTTTATTTGGGCTTTAGTTGCACTCTTAGAATTTGGGAAAAAATACGGTAGCACCTTCTGAAACGATACGGTAGGACTGTTAACAA